TATGTGTGTGTGTGTGTGTGTGTGTGTGTGTATGTGTGTGTGTGTTTGTGTTTATTGATTCACATAATTTGCCCAAGTATTACGGAGTGAGTGTAGGGCATTATAAAACGACTGAGCGTGCTCATTTGTTTATGAACGCGTGAGTCTGTGTACTTGTAAGCCCACCTGTCTTAAAGTATGTGTATGTGAGCGATCCATCTTCTACCAAAAACAAATTGTTGTTTTAGGTTGTTTTTTCTGTATGGGAAGGCCTGGTCTGCTAATTTTGCATCATTGTTTCTTTTTTCTTTCTTTATGATCAATGTTTCTCGTATTCTTATACGTCAAAATATGTATTTGTATACATAATATATAAATGTTTTATAAGAATAGGCCTCAGCCGCCACCCGGGCAAAATTCAAAATTCCCTACCAACTGAAAAATGTTTATTGTGTTCCGGGCGATTCTACGACCTTATGCAGTCGCGAGCGCCGTAAACGCTGAACAAAAAAAATAAAGATATTAATTATATAAATGGTACTTGTATCACTGTACACCAAAAAAATATTTCTTAATAATATAATACAGCTGTTGATTTTTTCTTTGGAGTATATCAAGGAGGTCAAGATCTGAAGGAGGGAAGGAGTAATTAGGCAATCTGCTCTCTCTATGTCTACCACCTTGGGAAAAATGTACCACAAAAACATGTCCTGCTTTAGTCATCATCGATATCTATGCATGGACAGCGAAAGAAAAAAAGGAGCAGTAAAAGAAATATGATCTATCCATTATCCTGCAAACTCGTCCTAAATTGCAAACAGGACGTGGTTGGTAGGTGCTCTGGAGTGGTTTGCTTCTTCTGACCTCCTCCTCATTCGGTTTTGTTTGTTACTCTCGTGTAACACTTTTAATCTTTGGCACTTATATGACCTTATTGTGCTGCACGTGCTGTTAAACTTTTACTGGAGGCTCTAGTGCCCTAGAGGTTAAAGTGTTCGCCTCTCATTCAAAGGTCCCAGGTTCGAATCCAGGTAACGACTTAATTTTCCTCTCTAAAATTGTCTCCTTTCACCTCCTGTCACCTCCTTTCCTGCCCTCTAGCAATGTTCTGTCGTCTGCTTTTGTCTCCACTTTCTGCCCCCACCCCCACACCTCCTTTGCACCCTCCTCTGGGCTCCTGACTCTTTCTGCAGCCTTTCTACTGCTACTCCTTGGCTCCTTCTACAGTTGTCTTTCAGCCACACTCCTAATCTTCTGGTAGGAAAGATGTACATGTCGGAGGTCCCGTGTGCAAGTTAACTTGGTTTAAGATCGATAAGAGTATGCTTCGGCCGCAACCCGGGCAAAATTCAAAATGTCCTACCAACTGAAAATGTTTAATGTGTCCCGCGCGCTCATATGACCTTATGCAGTTGCAAGCGCCGTAAAACAATTAGGACAACAATTTAAAAACAAACAACCAAAAAAACCAAAAAACTCTTACTCAAACAAACAAGGACAGCTCTTCAGCTGGAGGTGAGGAAAAAGTGAGGAAAAAGTGTGATATTACTTTTTGTGTATTCCAACATCGTGCCAGCTGTTCCTAAATTGCAACTCACTAAAACTAAAACTAAAAATTAAACTCTTTCTAAAACTAAACATTGATTGCAGCTCATGCTGGGCCACTCACCGTATAGGGTCGCCCACATACTGCCTGGCGCTGACCACCACTGTGAAGATGATGAGGATGCCGGTGGTATATAGATGGTTGACACGGTCGTTCAGGTCGTCGTCGTTACGGACTTTGACATTGGCCACTCTCCCCACCGACCCAATAATACTGTCCATCCTGAGGGAACAAATAGGGATAAGTTCGTTAGTTTGGTAATGGGTAGGTGGCGTTGAGAATTTCGTGTCTAATAGTGGTGGTGGTGATGTTGACGTTGGAGATGTTGACGTTGGTGATGTTGGCGGTGGTGATGTTGACGGTGGTGATGTTGACGGTGGTGGTGACAAGAAATATTTTTTTTAAAATAATTATGTTAGCGGTATTGGCAGTGTTACAGTTCATATCAGTGGTGGTGGTGGTAACGATAATGGCAGTGGAGGTGAAACAAAAAGAAACAACAACAAAAGTATTGAAGATATTTTTGCGTGACGTTGAATAGTGGTGGTGGTGGTGGTGATGCTGTTGCTGCTGGT